ATCGTCCGATTTCGATGATTTAAAAAAAATATTTTATAAGGAGTAAGCTTTCAAATACTTGATACATTAGACCTATAATAATTAGAACAAAAAATGTGTACAATTCGAGTTATTCGCAAATTAGGAATTCATTTTTAACGTCTCGTTTCGTTGAGTCGGTACCACCACAAGGTTTGAAACCTCCCATTTTTACATTCACTTTTATTTAAGTCCTGGTATAAAATTAGGAATTAAAATTATGATTTGCGCATTTTAAGTGATATTCCCTTTCTACTGATACCTCAGTCGTCAAAATCCATCTTCTGAGAGTCGGAAAAGAAGGGATATATAATCAGAAATCCTATATATAATAATAGGATGACCGCCATAACTGCGTTAATTCTTCATCAAATCCAATGATTGACCACTCATTTAGAAGATGTTCTTCTCCTTCACATGCGAAAAATAGTCCTTCCGAAATTTCTTGAAAGAAAGTCATGGAGAAAAAGAAATTTTATTTGCGAATAACTTAAAAAGTATGCATTTTTTTTATTGTACCCATGATAATTAGAAAGATTAATAAATTACCTACAAAACAAAAAAAAATCGTAAAATTCGGATAATTATTAACAAAGATACAGTCCATTAGTTGTAGTATAGTTAATAATGTCTTCCTGTTTAAAGATATTGCATTTAGGAATAGAATAGTCTACTACATTTTTTTCCTGCCTTTTATATTAACTTTATTTTTTCTTAAAGACATTTGGTTGTTCTTACATTTTATTTTATTATCTTTCCAGTCAGCGTTTATAAATAGGTCCTAGCAAAGCAATTTGTATAAATATTTTGGTCTATTATATTTAATGGAATATTGTAATCGACTAAGGAAAAAATATAAATTCCTTCCTTACATAATACAGAGGAACTACTTATTTCCATATTGTTTTACTACTTCTTCACTAAATAAAATTTTCTGTGAATTTTTCGTACGGGTGAACTAGTAATATATAATAAGATAAGATATTCTGTACAATATATTTTTTTTGTAAAAATTTATTTTTATTTACTTATTTATTTTTTTCTTATTGTACTTATAAAACTAATCCCTACTAACGCTAATTGGGCCAGACACTATGGCTACGCTGTATATTAAGTCAATAAATAAATAATAAATATTAGCCAAACTTTGTGAAATTAAATGCTAACTTACCCCATATTACTCTATATAATAATAAATTAGCTCTGTGTATTCTACATGAAATATGTATAACCTCAGTGGCCGGATTTCCAGAAGCCCCAATCCTCGAGGTAGAGAGACCACTTGAACCAACTCCACTCTGATTAATGTTCCTCCACCCAGCTATCATCGCTGGTCGTTAACTTAACTGTTGGTTAACTAGTGGATAACTTAGTTCACAGATCATCTTTAGTATCAGGATTAGTGACTGTCCTCAACTTCCTATACCTTCGGGGGCGTTGTACCTTCACCTGTATTCACCAAGCTGGAGTGTGTGATATATGAGCGCCCTCTCCCTTCGTTCGGTAGAAACTCATTTAATTTCCCATTCAAAGTCGTCCATAAATATCTTCGATCGGAAGAGGCGACGGCTTTAGCAGTCTCTGCATAAATCTCTTCAAGGGCTGAAGGCTTCCCTACTCTCTTTTGTTTATGATTTTATATTATTTACTGTCCTATTGGATTTGGATAATGTTTTTTTTTTTTTAGTTACGTGAGGCCATAGGTTCGCTAGCAGTTTCAGAGCTAAAATAAAATTAATTTATGGATGTAAAACATTAATTAAATTCATTAACGGTGATTGTCATTCCAAAAAATAATTTTTAATTGATCATTCAGTTGACAATATATTATAAAAAATTATAATGTGTGCTTTAGACCACACAATAGAAGTGAAAACATCAACAAGCCGAGATTAATGTTATGAAAAATAATTTTTTTTTGTTCTATATTCAGAAAACAATAATATTTGCAATATATAGAAATAGAAATAGAAAATAAACTTTGTTCTGGCACGATGTACCCTTATAATAACAATAGTGAACAGTTACAAAGAAAAAAATACATATCTGGCCAAAAACTAACTGAATAAAGATTCAAACAATATATACAAGAACTTAAATAATACTATGTAAACAACTAAAAAATAAAGTAAAATCTTCTCAACCATACTTATAAAAAAAAATACATGTATAGAAAGAAAAACCAAAACCTCCAGAAAAGAAAAAATATCAAAAGTAAGTAAATAAAAAGTATTGACTTTTTATGTTAAAAACAGACAGCTAAAGCATACAAAATATATACATAGATTAAAGATACATTAATGACAGAAGATGAGCAACGGGATCACAATATTCCATCATCCCTTATTATGCATTATTTTATAAGAGATATAAAATAAGAATAAATTGATAAATACAATTAGGAAGGGGCATTAAATTAATTTTATGAGAAAACAATTGCGACAAAAAGAAAAAATAAATAAAAGAAAAGAAAATAAATTATTTATATATGTTACTTAGGAATTTTCACGAGTTCGCGTCCCGGTGCCAAGGCGTCTTTTAAATCCCCGCCCACACTCCCTGGCCCGGGAAAACCCCGTATAGCCTTAACGGCGAGGAAGGGGAGGACAAAAAAAAAAAAAAAATTATTTAGGGACTGAGAATGAGAACTCGCAATGGTATTGTAAACTATGAACAAACCCGGAGATTAAGATAGGAAAAGATATATATATATATATATATATATATATATATATATATATATATACGGTTATAATTATTCATATATATATATATATATATATATATATATATATATATATATATATATATGTATGAATTATTCTGGTAAAGTTTGATCTGGATGATCAACATTTAAGATAGGAAAGATTAAGGAAACTTAAGATAGGAAGGAGATTAAGATAGGAAAAGATGAAACAATACTCTAAAAATGAAACAATAGGTTAATGATAAACTAAAAGATACGATTAATACTTTTGATTGAAATCTATTTACTAATTATCTAACTAAACCTCCGTTATTCGTTGTTCTATATTTTGTTGTTTTCATTTGGATCATTCGACATATCCTAATCTAATGTTGATCTCAATAAATCAACTAAAGGCTTCGATATGTCTTTTGAAAAATCAACATTGAAATAACTCATAATAATTAGTAATGAGATATTTTAGTCCCAATGTTTAAAGCAGTCTTTATTATTTGTTTTTTTATTTCTATCTGTTTTTTTTTCTGACATTTCATGTCAAAATACAATTTTGAATTATAGCTCAATTTAAAGAAGATGAAACGTTGAAAATTTCACTCGATTACAGTATGCAGGTCCTAATTTCAGTTTTTGCAATATTTTAATCCAAATATTAAAAAAAATCGTTATCGTTCGGTTTTTTCTATCTGTTTCCCTTTTAGCCTCTCTAACAAGGCGTCATATCAAGATACAATTTTGAATAATAGCTCATTACAAAGAATATAAAATGATGAACATTTACCATCCTCTCATTATGCAGGTCCGATGTTAAGTTTCTGAAATATTCTAATCCAAATGTAAAAACACTTCAATTAGTCGCTTCCGGCATATTTTACTGGAAATAGCGGTACATATACGAACGTGGCGGATGTCTTATTCAACATCCACGAAATAAAGTACTAGGCGCGTCCAAAGATGTTTTCACTTCCATAATAATAATATTTTGAAAAATAAGATGCGTAAGTCATCCAATTCATTTCCGACATGCACTTCGCGATCTCTCCAATGTGTTAAAATTGATATACAAGTATACTTAGTTCGTTGTACAGACCTCTTATCAAATATCAAATTATTAATAATTGGTAAATGGTTGACTGTCGTGGATAATGAAGAGAAGAATAGTTGGGGTGGTCAGTCAAAAAAGAAGGCAAAAATAAATGATAATATTTATTTTTACATATGCCGACGTTTCGACCTGAAGTTCAGGCCTTCATCAGGGCTAAGAAAATAACCAGATAACAAGGTATGAGAAACGTCGGCATATGTAAAAATAAATATTATCATTTATTTTTACCTTCTTTTTTGACTGACCACCCCAACTATTCTTCTCTTCATCAAATTATTAACATCTAGCTGAACCTTCGTAAATAGCTTCATCTCATCCTAACTTACAACTATTTTATTTACGATAATTCTGGGAATTGGGACGTTTTCAATCTGGAGGTCGGCAAACTTTGTCTAGTTAATTATTTACTAAAAACTCGTAAATACCCATTTGCTTCCCACTCAGGTCGTCAGATAATCTGATTAAAAAATCTTAAAAAAATGTGGTCTACAAAAATATTGGGCCGTTTGTCCTATATAACCTCCTTATATTGATATTTTGTGGCTGTAGGTCACGCCAAATGGCTACATATTTTTTAAGGCTACTTTTTTCTCGATTTTGTGATCAAATTATCTTACAATCCAAGTGGAAAGCAAAAGGGTGTTTACGAGTTTTCGGTACCAAATTAAATAGACTAAGTTTGCCGACCTCCAGATTGAAAACCAGTTTTTTAATTTCCTTTCTCAGAACTAATACGTTTATTATTTACTATAGTGAGGTTATTTTTAATTAATTTTTTTTCTCTCTTCAGATCTTCTTTTGCACCTGCCATAAATCTATGACAATAAGCAGATGTATTGTTATTTTTCTGAAAATAGCATTTTAGGCATGAGGAAGAATAGTATTCCATAATTCGGATAAGGAGGTCACTCATCCAGCTTCTTTTCAGACACCTCCTATTGGGCATGTCAGCTGTGACAATGTTGTTTATAGGTCTGTTGTTGTGCCCCTGTATTTTAATATGATATTGGGAGTAAAGAGTACCTATATGATGGTTGATAGTTAGTTGTCTTAAGTCGATGTGTAATTTTTTTTTATTATTCTTTTTTCACATTATTTTCACTGTAAATAAGAATAAAAATATTAGACGAAAATTTAGTATTACTTTAGTATCACTGTTATTTTGTTACTATTTATCTATTAAGGATGCAATAACTAAATATTAATATTGTAATTCTCTGTTTCAGATTGCCTCCACCTCCAGCTCTACAGAGACAGTAAAGACCGCTACAAGCAAGGGCAGACTAAAGCATCCCTCTCTCTCCAGCACTTCCTGGGGGTTGAAACTGGTATGTCATCAAGCATATATCAATAAGTTAATCATTTAAAAATTATTTTAATATCATATACTATAGAATTTATAAAAAGAATATATAGGAATAGAGGGAGGCTTTTCATTCTGGCAATAATCCCCCTCCCCTCATCTGGCTCGGGAAAACCCCGTATAGCCTGAAAGGCGAGGAAGAAGAGAACGGAAAAAAAAAAGGAATATTTAACATTTACCTACTGTAAAACATTTAATTATTTTTCTTACCTTTTTTATTTTTAAAAATTATGTTTTCATTTCCCTATTAATTTTATTTGACTTTTTATTAGTTCTATAGATTCAGATAACTAACTTTTATATTGAATTTTTGGAAAAACTTGTTCGTTTTAATATTAGTATATCTTGCCTTGATTCACAGGCAATAATGTTTTTTTTTTCATTTATTTAAGAATAAATTCTATAATAAATTAAACTTGAAAATCAATAAACCGTAAAAATTTACTGCAATGAACAATTTTAATTAGCTGGTCATAAATGCTATGGAATAAAATTTAGTAATATGTTCAGGTTTATGTTAGAGGATAGCGGATAAAAAAATCTACATATTTTAACCTTTTTTTTCTAACTTATTATTTTTTCTTGTCAAAATTATATTGATTACTATTCAAAACAATCGGTCATGCTATTTTCATTACTTTTATCAGGTGCAGATGAATATTTGAAGATAAAAAAATATTTAGTTTTAGCAAAGTGGTTAAGGAAATATCCGTTATCTATATTATTGATAATTTCTTAAAAATTAAATTAGAAATGAGACTAATAATAATTTATTAACAACTTATTGATCAAGAATTAAAATACTTTAAAAAAAAAAAATCTAAATAGTATGTATATAGGGCTGAAACTAACATTTTGTTTGTTCCCTAACCTTTCAGTATTACTTACAAATATTTACTAACATCCACATAAATTAGTAGATTATGATACCATATTTTAATACATGATTATATTTACAAACTTTTTTAAAAGTAAAATAGGAGTTTTGGGGAAAAACAAAATGTGACTTTCAACTTTGTACCGCAAGAGTTTGCTCTAGTGCTGTTAACTGACCACGTATAAGAAACTATAGAATCAAGTCGATATTTTGAACGACAATAAATAAAGTGAGACGACACAAAAGTATAAAATGAATTATAAATCGTAGGAAAAAAAACTTAAGTTTTATTCTGAAAAAAAACAAAACTTGACTGTTTTATGGACTTTTTAGTTGGAGTGGAAGATATCAATGTAAAAACAAATTCTTTCTCTGATCAGTATATTTTAATTTATTAAATAATATAGATATAATGATATCAAATTTAAATTTGCTATTGACAATGTCCTTTCGTTACGTTAGGATTCACCTTGGACAAGGAGTCCAACACGATCGCCATCCTCTGCCAGGATGTGACGGTGGTCCTCGCCTTCGACACCAGGGAGCGCCTCATCCAATGGCAGGTCAAGATCGCCAACAACCTCGGGGAGGGTAAGCTATATTTTTATCTACTATAATTTAGTACATCACTCTATATTATTTCACTAGTTACTTTCTATCAGAATGTTCAAGTGGGACGTTCCGTATCCAGTTACATTAATGAGTTTGTGGACTTGCATGTGATGACACGATTCGAGCAACGACGGTGGTTAATTAATAACTGCTATTTGAGAGAGTATAGATTTTGTTTAAAATAATTGTAACACTAATTCTTCGAGAAGTTTGTTAATACCTTATATAGGTTATTATAGAAAATTAAATTAGTATTTTCCTGAGTTTAAATATATTTGAAAGCCCATTCAGAAGGTATTAGTAGAAAGACTTTCCAATTATTCCTAGCTATACGTGTATGGTTTGGTCACACATTTTCAGAAGCAGTTAACTATCAAATATAAGATTTCCGTCATACAAAATTAACACATTTCATCCTATTATCGGTGTATATATTATTAAAATAATAATGAAGAAGTTGTAAGAAAAGTATTAATTATATTACATTCAAATTTAGGCTTCATAATTAACTGTTTTTGAAATGTTGACCTGTTAAAGAGTTGATCAATAATATGAAGGCCTTTCAATAATTTTTTTAACATCGTTTTACTTTGAAAATTCCTTTCCCTCAAATAATCCTAAATAGATTTCGAATCCCTTTCGTATATTAACATAAGTATACTACAAGTTAATTCAAAATTATTAACAACAAACTCTTAAAAATTCTTTTATAATTTTATTTATTTTAAAAAGAAAATTTTGGTTTAAGTACCGAATCTTAATTTTTTTTTTATTTACTTTAACCAGAGTAGTAGCCGATTGTATTGAAAAATATTTTGAACAAAAGAAATTTGAAAAAAGTATGTTTCACAAAAATTAATCTAAATATTAATTAGGATGATCTGAATTTTAAAAAATTAAATTTATTAAGAAAGCATTGAGGGAAGGGGCGGTTGGATACAGTCCCGCAATACATGGAGGTCCTTCCTAACGTCTATTGCCTACCTTGGCAAAATAAAGGCGTTGTATATCATCTAAAGGTACTATTTGGCTGGTACTGCCCACCGCGTCTACTGCTGGCAGTTGAGCTCTGCTTTAGTAGAATAGAAAGGAGCATATTTCGGTGGCACTGCTCGGCAGTCTAGCTATGACTTCATATCTAGACTGCTCCTTTCTTACTGCTCCTGAAGCAGTGAAGCTATGGACCCAAAGGAACACCATTTCTCTATGATTATGTTTCAATAATTTCCAAATATCTCGTATTTCTCTTATCAGAATAATTTTTCGTCTGGTGTTTTTTATGGCAACAGTGCACTCGTGGAGTCTGTTAAGGCCTATTTGGTATTTGCATTCGACTCAATATGCAGAAGAGCTTCCTGTATTGCCAAGGTTTCTCCCGTAAATATCGAGCACATATCCGGCAATGTAAAGATTTTATATGTCAGTGTTGATAACATAGCATCTCACCGTATAAGATTTATTTTATGCGCATCAATTGGGTTAGATTCTTCTTTTTTTTCTTTTTTTTTTTTTTTTTGTATTAACAAAAGCCTAGTAGGCCCGTGCGAAAAATTCACACAGTACATTGTTAAGTAATCAAATTCCAAATTAATAAGAAAAGAAAATAATGCAACGTATCATAAAATAAAGAAATCAATTGTTACTTTATCCATAAATATAATCGACAAAGGAAACAAACATTAATTTAAAACTTCATTAATATTTGGAACCAACATGTTTACAAATTTCAATAAGCTGTGTCTTTGCTAAAAATTGCCCGATTTGAATGATTTTTTTTTCTTTTTGTAGGAAATTTTGTAATCTTTTATAATGGCATAACAAAAGGAAAAATGTGTAATTTTTTAGTTATTCGCAAATAAAGTTCCTTTTTCTTTCGTAACTTGTTTGTCTGAATTTTCGGGGTGATTGAACTATTTTGCCCGCCTGAAGGAGAAGGAAGCCTGTGGTGGCTTAATCTTGGGATTTGGTGAAGAATTAACGATGACATGGCTTGCCGATCAAAAACACCATCGATAAATAATATAAACTCCCCCTCTCTCGATCATAGCGGTCTCAAGTCGACGAAATGAGACATGTATTCAATGACAGTACTAAAATTAACGTAAGGTTATGTGGATGCAAACTCTATGCCTTGCGTTATCTTGAAAATAGTACGTTTTTGGGCTTAAAAACGCAGGGCCCGATAGTTATAGGAACTAGTTCCTTTGGAACTATCCGGGTCTTGCTGTACGCATCAAAATCTTCTAGATCCAATTTGTCCCGTATCGATCTACAGACCTACCACCGTTCCTGTATTGAAGCCTAGCAAAATGTTTGTATCGACTTTATTTATTTTAGAATGAAAAACAAAGGTGGAGAATACAATTCGGTAACCCCCGTGAAATTCTGAATCCAACGGTAACCCATTCATGGTATTTGAGGATGACAGGTGCTTATATTTGGTACAAAACCGATTTCGAGCCTTACTGTAATAATATATGTGGGGATATTATATTAATCAGTACAAAAATAATTTGTATTATTAATTGTATTATTAATTCTTAATTTTTTCTATTGTGATTTAATTTTTTATTATTCCCAACTACAAATCAATCGCAAATCATGACTAACCTATTATGTTATGTTACAGACCAGCAGTACCTGATCCAGGTCGGAGCGGCGCCGCCCAAGGCCAAGATCTCCCCCGGCCCGGCGAGGCTCCACATCCAGGAGTACAGGTTCTCCCTCACGATGGGGGTGCCGCCGCGCCTTATCGGGGTCTGGAACATATCACAGCTTAGGTATCTCTATATTCATTTATCTTCTTATAATTTTCTTTTCTGTATATTTTCTTATTAAATGTATATACCGAATTAGCTCTGCTGCGAGTCACCAGAGCGTACAGGACTACAAGCCAAATGGGTCCTCCCGGATTACTGGCTCTCGCGATTCCTTACTGGGCATGGGGGCTTTCGAGACAGGCTCCGTGGATTTGGAAAAATGTCGATCCTCTATACCCTAGTTGTGGGATCACGGAGACTGCTGAGCACATTATCATAAACTGCATCGCCTTTGAGTCGCTAAGGGCCAAATTGGTGAGGGAGACTGGTCTCTATGTTCTCACAGAGACCGATTTCCCTCAGCTAGTTACGGAAGAAAACTACCCGTACTACAAAGAATTTGTGATTTATCACATTGCAGAAGCAGGCAGTTATGCAGTGACGTGTAACAACCCAGTTCTGCAAAGCCCGTATTGCCTCAATGACATGGTAGGGTTCAAATAAATAATATACCGAATTATTATTATTGGCACTAATACCCTCCAAGTGCATGGGCCTCCTCACAGGTCTGTCGGCAGGAGAAGGATAATTTAATCTTGTGAAACAATAAAATATTTCCAGTGGCGTTCTGCCACTGCTGCTGTTGAAGAAAGATGCCTGTCTTAATGCTCAAGGAAATCACTTTGAACAACATTTAATATGAATTTAATGTTTACGTTTAATTAATAAAGTAGTTGGAACAAATAAATAAGTTTTATTTTCTTAATATAACGCAAATAATTCATAACAATGAAAATCTCCTGAACAAAGCGTTAGTTTACCAACCTTCATAGGAGTTTTTTTATTGTTTTGAGGTCCTTAATTCATGTTTTCAGTTTGGCCACTTTACCCTTAAACACCCTCCCTCCATAGATATCCAGTGATTACGTAGTTTTTATAATAACCGGATGCGATCAAAAATTTCTTCCTCTTCATCAGGATGGTTGGCAACTTTTTGCAGACATCTCCATCTTGTTTTTACAGGATAGGGTCAAGGCCAGTACCACCGTATATTTGTTATAAATTGTGCCATCAGCATTGGTCTGTATTACCCACACTGCTCTCTCTATGGAAAAATTAAAAAGAGTTGTAGCCTTGGGGCATCCTCGCTGAAGTTTATTATTAATTGGAAAACTCCTACCAAGTGCACCCTGTGATAAAAAGCCACCCATGGTCATAAGAACCATACACATTATCTTTTTGAGGATTCCAAATCTAATATATCCCAGATATAGTACCAATGTCTGAGATTATTCTGATATAAATGTAGAATATGAACTTAGTACAAAACAGAGAATATAAATATAGTAAGAATTTCAAGTAGTTTTCGAACTGTGTGAAAAAAAGCATTTGCTATAACTAAGAAAGAAATACAGGATAAAATATAGAAACCTATATGATATATAAAAAAAAAAAAAGTTAATTGTTTTTCTCTTTTAAGTATATTAGTAAGATTGCTTCAGTTATTATCAAGACATTTCTTATCTTGGACTTGCATACCCCTTAATCCCTCTATTATCATCCCTTTCTCTCCCTGAGTTACTTCAAGTTGAGAAAATTCTGAAAGTGGAAACTTTTCAAGCCTTAGCTAAGCTTTGGATTTATAGATAATCCATCCACTGTACTTAAATCTGTTTTTTAACAATTTTCTTTTCAATTTTTTTGTTTCTTGTTTATCAATAGAACATTCTTTTTTTTTTCTAACTCAACTTGAGGATAGTGGTTTCTTATTATCATATGAGTTGAAATTATTTTCTTGTTTATAGGAAATATGGAGTCGTAGAGAACAGATTCGTATTTGAAGGTGGCTCAGGTTGCGGAAGATACGAAGGTGTCTACGTCCTGGTTACCGACCAAGGGGAGGAGATCAGTCATGCCTTCAAGGCCGCCAGTCAGGGAAAGCTCATCCCGAAGAGGAAGCAAGTTAGCAGAAACATGTCTGGTAAGTTCATATCTAATAATACTTAATAAGTATCTCTTTAATATCAACATCATTGTAGTATAAAAGTGCATTTTATTGTATTTAGGAATTGTAGATATTTTATTAGTTTAGAAAATATAAAAAGCCAGCCCCTACAATATATTTTAATAATATTTTTCTGACTCTTGTAGAACAGATCCATTATCTAGCACTTCTTTATTTAGTAATTATTTTCATCCTGTTAGCTTAGAATCCTCCATACAATACCATAACAAGTAACTCTTGGTTTTTCTAACTTCTTCAACAGTATCTAAACAAATCCTCCAAACTTCATTAAAAAATAAAAACTGTACTTCTAGAACCCATGGAGGGTCTTGGGGATTCAATGCTTTATAAGGGTGTATTGTTTCAAGGCCAACTGTTGAGCAGGGAGATGATTGCGCCGAAATCAACCCAGACCAAAGATAAATTGATAAAATACATATAAGCTTGCATCCCGGTGTCCGCAGGGAGAGAGAGGGGGCTTAACTATGGCATTAATTCCCTGCCCTCACCCCTTGGCCCGGGAAAACATAGCCTAAAAGGTGAGGAAGGGGAGGACCAAAAAAAAATTATTAAAAAGATTATTTCCCTTAATCAATTATTTAATTGAAAGTATCCACTTTAGAAAGGCCGGGTGTGTCCCAGGAAAGCCTTCATCAGTTGAAAAAATAGAATAAATAATTACTTCATAAGTAAAGCACAGTACCTTACTCACTGAGCTTTCCCACTCTCCTGTATCCCATCCTTGAATATAAAATTCTTAATATATACTCAATGCTTTTTATCATCTCATTAGTAAAATTGTAAGTAAAAATCTAATGTAAATTGTATCTGAAAATCTCTGTTACATTAATCAGTTTGTATGAATGGATAGATACCTTATGATAGAATAGGTACATTTTCTTTCATTATTAAAACACAGAATCCCCATAACTTTTTTTTCTAATTAATAATTCTTTGAAATGCCAGAAAAAAAACTTTTAACTGTATTTATTTATACCAGGATGCCAGAATACACACTCACTGACAAATTAAATGAAAATAATCTTTATCTAGAATAAATTATATATTATTATTTACTATGGAGTAAATAATAATATATTTGTTTGAAAAAAAATATACCTCTTATTTATTCTATTATTTGCAGGTATTTATAAAGTAATTCTAAACATAACCCACTTAACAGAACTGTTTGTAGCTTTAACAGCCCTCAGCCGCAAGAATATTTAACTTACCATGTAAATATAAACAAACTGAAACTAGTTAGCCAATTAAGAATTTCAGATACTGAAAAGCTGACACTTTTTCATAAAAATACCACTTTGATTATAAAAGTAGGGGAAAAATGTGGATGGTGTCAAGAACATATCACCCAAAACATAGAACACCTGTTATTGCTATGCCCCACACTAAGCATTGATAGGAAAAAATACCTGGGAGATTATATTGTCCAAAACAATAAACAATTATCTTTAGAAAATCTTCTAAATATTGATAGTGCGGACAAACTAAATAACATCTATTTCTTTTTGTTAAAAACTATATATAGGTATTTATAGTAAGGACTATATTATATTGTTTTAGGAATAACCATTTGATTATTTATATGTATATAGCTTTGAGAATAACTATTTAGTGTAGTTCCATTTATGTAGTATTGGGAATGAAAAGGAGAGGAGGAGAGGGAGAGAGGTAAAGGAAAAAAGAAAAAAGTCTAATTCGATATATTATTGAATCATTAACTAATTTTCAGATATACACTTTTTTATATTGTTTTGGGTTTTAGAAATAATTATCTATTTATTTATTTATTCTATTTACTTATTGGGAAATATCTGTATATATATACATTTTTATTTAATTTTTTTTTTTCTTTCAATTTGTTGTATTATTGGATTATATTGGGAGGTTATAATAAGCAATAGGAATTCACCCATGTATACGTATTTATATCTTTATTTATTTATGCTTTCATTGCCATTCAATACTAACAACTACTAACACCAAATGGGCCAAACTCCAAGGCTAAATGATGTACATATTAGCCAGTAAACTATCTCTCTATAAAGTAATTTAATGTTTCATAAACTTTATGCTTTCAATCATAAATTATTAATGAAAACATCTTTTACAGTGGCTTTAACAAATTCTCTTACAGTCATAGAGAGCCCGAGAAAGCTCCAAGCCAGGATGAAATCTGTCGCAGCCAGCGAAATGGAATGCTGCCGACAGGACACGCTCTGGGAATCTTCGGAAACTCCTCAAGGATCGGAATTCGGAGACACGGTTTCTGTTTCAGACCTGGCGATAGAGCCTCAAGTAAATATTTTTACACCAGATTCTGCTTTGACTTTGAATAAATATTTAGTTAAACGTTCTATTGTTTCTATTACACAGGACAGCTGGAACCAGCATGATCTGAGTCGTTGCCACGGCTGTACGACTAAAATCGGATCAATGACGAGGTCCCTCACTGTATCCAACACACCTGGCACTGGCTTCAACCCTGCCTGGATCATGGAATCAAAAAGTAATTTCATTTTAACTACAATTTTATTTTTCAAGTTTATTTATTAATGACTACACATCTAAATTCAGCCGGAAAGCCCTCCCCCTTCCCCCGTAGATCCGCCCGTGCCCTAAAGTACTTTTAATCTTTTCTATTTGAAACAATTGACCATTTCACATCAATGTGTAATATAAAAGATAATTAAATATAAAATATGAACGAATTTGAATATTAACTGAAGGAGAAATAAGAGATCGTAAAGGAGAATAGTTGTTATTGAGGAACCAAAGGAATACAAAAGCACCCGAGCTCGCCCGAAAGATTAGAACATGCTCTATATGTAACATGAACTTAATATAATACGGACTCCAACAATATTATGTAAATATACATATGCGGTTTTCCTAAATGCTATTGTTGGTATTATTTAATATTTAATTGTATAGATTACAAGGATATAAATATTAAAATTTATATATATAAGGGTACTTATACAAATAAAAATACCCATAATGAAGTATAAATAATTTTTACTTTCACTTCCCCTTTGTCTGCAAATAGTTATTTCTGCTAAGAAAAGGGTGGTAAGTGAAAGTTGTGTGATGAGCACTCCGCACCAGATTTTTTTAACCTAATTTTATTATGTTTATTTCATTAGTCTTTGTTGCTCTTTGTCTTTGTTACTTTGTTGGCTTTATTATTTATTTCATAAGTGCCTCTCTTTTACTGTTATATCATTATGTCTTATTTTGTTGTTTAATGTTAATAGTTTCTAATAAATATTGTTATCTGGTCTTTCCTTAGCCATAATGAAGGTCTTAACTTTGGCTGAGACATTGGCAAAAAATAAAAATAAATATCATTTTTTTTTTTTTTTTTTTTACTGAATAACCCAATCAGCTTCTCTTCAAATATATTTTTATATTATAATTTTATTCATTTCTCATTTTCCTTACACTAATTAAAAAAAAAACACCATTTTTTGTCGCATTTTATGTACATTTCTTCTAGTGCTTGTCAATTTCTGAATCCTAAAACTAATATGGATGTACACAAAGAGCCTTAATGCCCAATTTCCTTGATTGTGGCAGATTGTATTATTTATTATTCCAATAAAAAGTAAAAATCAATATTAAACAATAGAAGGAGAGGATAGTACCGGGTTTCAGGAATCGACAAGCATTAGAGTAAATGTGAATGGTGTTTTTTTTTTTTGTAATTGGTATACCAAAAATAAAGAATTAATAAAATTATAATATAGAAATATGTTTGAATTGATAAACTTTTTGGTTTGAATTTTGATAACTTGAGAATGAGCAAATTAGCTCGAAACATCGTTAAAAGTGAAATAAATTGTTAAAGTATAAGGCCTTATATATTCCTTGAAGAGACCTCGTATAAGATGAAATTTTGTGTGGTGAAACTTAGATGGTTTCAATTTATCAATTTCATATCAATTTCAGTAACAGGTGATATGCATGTCTCATGAATGTGTCTGTTTAATAAAATAACATAACTAATAAAAAAAAAATTTCTCGGAATATTGTTTTATTTTTTCAGATTGCGAACACCATATAACAAGAAATACCATCTGTTGCAACATATCTGTCATCTCGCACACATGCCATTCTGGTTCCAACTCATCCAAGTCTACTAGTGATGACTCGGGTTGCAGGTAAAATTGCAAATTTTATAATTAATTATTAATTATCAATCATTAACTATTAATAATTTATTTCATATTTGTAAAATCATATTCTTTCTAGGTCTGGTGCCATTTCTCCATGTAGTGTAAATCCGATGATATGTTCTCATCAGATCGAACCGAAAACACCGCTCGTTCAACCGAAGCAGGCTCACCCTGATCCTCCTGTTCAGTATGAAAATTATGACACTCCTCGTTCTCTTTGCATCAATCTTAAAGTACGTCATTACAATTTTTTACTTTTCGTCAAATTAGATGAAATCTACTTAATATTATTTTAATTCAGACCTAGTATTTAAGAACAAACCTGGATTATATTTAAAATAAAATATTTTAAAACACATTCTACAGCAGTAAAATATATTGTTTGTAACTGTATTTTATTTTTAAAATAAAAAAAAAAAGTATTTGTATTTTCTTTAACAAATTAAAATACAAAAAATATTTTGTATATTAAATACACAAAATAAATTACTAAATTGAATTGGTTCCTTAAAGTATTGTTGTAAGACTAGTCATTTGTACGAGGATTCTTAACTCTGAAAATTGAGCTTAAACATTTTTTAAGGTTATTTGTATTACAATTATCTTTGACCATAAAATTAATTAATCTTAATGAAATTATTAAAGACTTGAAGGCTTCATCATAAGAAAGTGTAGAAAGGCATATATTGTGAAATAGATAAAGTGAATGTGGACTGACCGATGTTTAGTTGCAAAAAAAAATTAATATAAAAAATGTATTCCATATCTGCTTTGGAATTATCAAGCCAACCTTTACTAACATTAAAATCTGTTTTGTCATCCTTCTAAAAAAATTATTAAAGAAAAACTTTGCCTTTTCAACTAATATATCTCCGGAAATCGGACACCCTCATGATCTCTGCTGAAAAAAGCAGGTATAAAGAGATTCCTCAACTTGTGAATGACCGCCTAATTTTAATTTTTCGATTTAGAGACACCACATTACTATTTTAACACTGCCACTTAAAGTATTTCCAGTAATATTTATTGGGAAACAGAATCATTTCCATTCTGTCTCTCGTCGGATAACCAGAGGTTCAGATAATTGAAACTATCCTGTACTTGGTATTTTAAACTCTTTATTTTAAAATAACAATTAAAATACTTTTGCTTGAGTAGGCAATTAACTATTCTAAACAAGATTCTATTTGTATTATTAAAATAATTAATAAGATGATATTTTTATATTACTATCCCTTCTTTAACTGAGTGGCTTCATATCAAAGACGGACATCTGTAATTTTTAAAAAGTCAATTTTTGTAACATAGCTTCAATTTAAACCAATTCTAATAATTTTTTTTCATGATTCAACTTTAACATTCTTAAATAAAATCATCAGAAACGGTTTGAGTTGAGCCTATAAAACAAAAATTGACTTTTTCTCTTCTTTCTGGAAATGACAGATGCCCGTTTTTGATATGAGGCTACGCAACTGATTCATAAGTAACTTAAAAATATTTCTTCCTTGTAGGATGAACAGAGCATCGGAAACAGGAATTCGGTAGCATCATCTGGGTCAGAACTTGAATACTACGATACGCCCAAGAAGCTCAAAGAATCTATAATCGGACCCTGCCAGGCTTGTCACATGAGGTGCACATCCCCACCACCTGTCTGTCACCAACCATTTCAGAAGTAATTATCTCATTTTCTCGTTTCTTATCTTATTTTGTCTCAAAAAGTTTTTATAGTAATAATTTAATAATAAAGAAAAATTATTCAATATGTCAATTATTTTTATTTTTAGGTTAGATTGCAGTTGTCATCCTGTAATAGTTTGTCCCTGTCAAAAAGTTCACTGTCAACCAAAACCCATCATGATATGTTCTTGCTGTTCACAAGACATCAAGTTCCCTCAAAGTCAGGTAAGCAATTTTTTTAATTCTATTATTAATCAAAGCAATAAAAAATTATTAAAATATCTTTCTTTCAATACATTACATATAAATCAGAAAATCAAATAACAGAAAAACTAATACTTATATGATAGTTCGACCACAATTAGTTGGCAGTTCGCGGGCGAACTCATGCAGCACAAGATTGAAACTAACATTATGTTTTTTCTCTAATTCTCCTATTATAAATTATAAAATATTGTAAGATCCATCTTGTAGTAGACATCTCCCTGTATTTACACCATTAGTTGACATTGTGTGAGGGAATGAGAAGGTATATATAATATATAGGAATGTGAGGTAGCACTGTGAATTGTACTCAATTGTGCAGTGGACAAATTGCTCATTGGAAAATCTGACATCGATAAAGAATCGAAAAGAAGAAAAGGTCCGATCAGGTAGCTGGCAACAGATGGCGAGGACGACGCCAAACACTTAAGGCCTGGACACCAACCCAAGAAGACGTCATCTGGGAAGAGAGGTTTACTACATTGAAGACCAAGATTATCAAGCCAACCGTTCACTCATATATATTCATTTATTATCAGTTGTCAAAATAAATTGTTTTATTATACCGGAGTGAATAGTCCTTTTATTTAGTTGTCCTATAAGCCTCACAATTGAAGAATAAACCAGGTGAGCCAATTCATTCAAAGTGTTTACTAAGTCCCACATTTCATATACATATTCTTATTGTTTCTTCTCACACAGTGTCATAAAAGGTAATAGATTCCCGAATTCCCAATCACAGTTAAACACCCTCAAAAGTCGATATCCAGTGCCGGGGTTTTGTTTTAAAGATTCACGAGTGTAAATAACCTTAAACCCCGATATAAAAGCGGAAGGCTATGCGCCTATTCCCGCCAAAACGAATCATTTACATTTAACTTCCTGTAGGTTATTTACAATCTTATATTATACAAATAATAATAATATAATCTCGGAAGCTCACTTCTTACCATTGAGATACTTCCTAAATAAATAAGAGGTTGTGTAATAATAAACAAAGTTATAAGAGAATTAATATATTTATTGATCAACTCAGACAAACTATTATTATTTACACTATTTATAATAAAATTAAACACTGATTTTATAATAAAGTCAAGTATGGATTGGCAAGCTAACCTTTTTTTCTATATATACTGTTTCTTCCTTTGTTGCACTGAATTCATTTGTCTTCAAATACTTTCCAAAGTTCTGCCAAACAACTCTTCCAAATTGGTAACACTATTTCTGGGTTTTTCCACTGGAGCCAGGATCACTTCTCCTATCCTATCTTCACTCCAGTCACACAACTACTCTTGCCAAAACAAAAACCTTGGTCCCTCTCCTCTTTGGGATTTTCCTTCTTGGGAAACTACAGAGCAGCCATTTTCTTTTCCCTGCACTAGTAGAACTAGATTAGCTTGCCTTTTAATTGTTCAACATTAATTTATTAAACCCTTGTTACTCACTTCCAATAAAGGTGTACATTACATTGTTACTCACTTCCAATAAAGGTGTACATTACAATATTTACCCATCTTAAATGATGATATCATAATCTTCTAACATAGAGTTTAGAGTTTATTAACCAATAATTATAATTTGATCTGACCAGATGGCAACACCTATCAGTCGGTGCCATTAATGATAAGTAAATCATTTTTACATGGTGTCATTTTTTTCTAACAATTTCAATATAATACAATTCTAACATAGTATAATAATACAATATAGTATAATGATATAGTTAATTATAACATAATTCTAATGTAATGTAATATATATTAAATACTAAATGGCAATATATGAGATCTATAAGTTTATATAATATAATCTAAATTATAAATGATAATTAAGATTATATATAGATATGAATATATAGCAGTAATAATTTATAAAATAATTAATAAATATGAAGAGAAGCATACGAACAACAATAAGAATAATAGTTTGACTAGAAGGAATAGAAGTTTATAACAACAGAACTTACGTGATAATCAGAGGGTTATAAGTCGTATGTCAATAATTATAAATAATAAAAATTTCAATAGTATAATAAGAGTAAATAAAAAAAAAAGTTAATAATTATAAATTTGTTATATTTATATATAAACATATAAATGAATTATACATATATTTGTGAGTATAGAAGAAACAAAATGTGAGTTCAACTTCGTAGCCCATGAGTTCGTCCTCAACCAAGTATAGCATTTAAAGTCATAGAAAGTAATGGAATGTGACAAAAAAATATGGAACGCATGGGAAAAACATATGTAAATAACTTTACTTTAGTTTAAAAACTTTAGAACTGGTTATAGATTTAAGTAATTAAATATTATTCAGCCCTACTTCAGCAGTAATCAATTTCCACTCAAAATAGGGTGGTAAGTGTGTTTGTTAAAAGCTGTGTATTTGTGTGCGCTTCTCATCAGCTTTTTAAATTTTACATTATCTCTACTGAAACACATGTAATTTTATATTTTTTCTTTTGATGTTAAGCAATAAATAATTTTTATTATTTTAAGTTCTATAAAATATCCCACAAAATTTTCTTCAGAAAAATAAAAATAAAATACCAACCGTTAAGAATTTTATAAATATATTTTTCATTATTATCTTTTCAACTAAACTATTGAAATATATGCATTTGTATTCAAATTAGCTCTAATTTTATTATATATACTGCTGAAGTGAATACCAAATTATGCTCTAAAAAGAATTTTTAGTTTAATAAGAACAGGAAAAGAAAATAATATGCTACTGAATGAAAATCTGGTCTTTATTGCATCAGGCATGAAACTTTAATTTTGGTGTTAGGTTATAATTTGGAAAATCCAACCACACAGCCTTATGTCTCGTGCATTTAACCATTTCACAAACTATTGGAAACAAAAAAAATTAAATGGTTGTTTCCCCATGCTAGTGTTTCTTGTTGATGTTTTCCACCTGATGTCAGTAACAGAAGAAATAAAACAAAAAGTAGAGCTTAGCGCAAATGTTGCTGTTAGTTAAGTTAGATTATTGTTTTTCCCACAGTTTGTGAAATGTCTAAACACCTATTGAAATGCAGGTAAAAATTTTTTATTTGTTTGTATTAATTAATTTAAATAAATATGTTAGGATGGATGACTTTACAAGTAAAATATCTTAAAATATTTATTTATTTCAGGTCCACCATCATGATGCATGTGCTAATGGAGCCATCTATGCTAAAGTTGATTTGCTCAAGAAAACTAAAAGAAGGCTCGAGTCTTCTGCTAGCATCCCACCTCCTTCTAACGGTGCTGTTTTAGATTCGGACATGTGCAGGGAAAATATGCCTCAGAATTATGCCAACTTACAATTCGCTCAAAGCCTCACCCACTATGAAAATGTTCGAGATTTGAGAGTCCATTTAGACTCTTCTGGATTGTGTACGAAATGCCAATGTGCACAGCAGAAGCAGACTGAAGAAGGTGGAAATGAGGATTATTTGCTGATGGGGCCGATATCGTCACCACCTGATGATGAAATCAAATCTTCGGGAGATAAAGTTTCCAGCCCTCCATACATCCCGATGAATCCTATCAGGAATAAGTGCCCATGCTCACCTATCAACGAACCACTTTCTTCCGAGACCAGGTCTGCGACTGCAAGCCCGTTTTTGAGAAGGCACGATCCTTCAAGCTGTTACCTCAACGAAGAGAGGAGGCGAATGGCACAGATCAGGTAAATCACCTTCTTTTACTATTCTTTTTTTTTTCCACATACGAGTGCACCACAGCCTCAAGAAGGCTTATTGTGTGTCGTCCTAGACTCAATTAAAACAGGCCAGATGCCTTTGCAAACCTGTCAATACTAATAGAATCAAAAAGTTCACAGTGCTTAGGGTCAGTGATACGATCACATCCAAAGTGAAAGTATCGCAGTTTAGCCAAATTATCACATCTACAAATAATGTAATAGGCCATTTCATCCTCCAGGCCACACAGCCTGCAGGAGTTCTCACTTACACCCAAATTAAAAAGGTGCTTATTTAGTTGACAGTGACCAGTATATAATCCTGTCACACTCCTAATGGTACTCCTGTCCCTCTCATGAGACAGGGCCCTACTAGGAACTACTTAGAATGAGTTTGTTTCCTAGTCTGAAATATGATTATTATTAATTTAGTGTCAATATTGTTTGAGGGAAAATATGTTTATATTTGAAATAATTTAGACTTTTTCCTTTTCCACTATATATTTATTTATTTAACGCATTCTATTTACATGGCAAAGTTTCTGCTATCATGTCATCCTCAGATCAATCTAAACAAGTGTTTTATTTTATCTCTCTGGGCTGCATAATTAGATTGAAGTATGTAATTGTTCAATAAATTTTAAAAAATGGTGAAAAAGCATGCAGACTAAATTACTTCATTACTTTAAAAGAGTTTTCACCTTAAACCTAATACATAACAATATTTTTATATTTAATATTTATATAGTGTTAATTTTTCAAATTTAGATATTCAGATCCATAAATTCCTGTGTCAACACATTTTTAGAAAAAAATTATTTTCATCCTGTCAACTTAGTCAACCTAGTTTTTTCGGCTGTACAGTGTTTTTCCAGGGCAATGGGAGAGAGCAGGAGATCAATGCCAGAATTAAAAGACTTGTGATTCAAGTCATGAGTGAAAAATTGTGATCTCAATTTCATTGAAGGTGTTTGGACCCAATCGATTACTATAAAAAAAAAATTAAAAACTAAAATTCTCATCTCTTTCTTGATTTTAATGCGTAGTTGTCTTTGTTACTTCAGCAGTTTGGAAGTATTTTACAAAATGACTCTAGTATCAATATCATACTTTTTGTTTACATTCTAGTAATAATATTTGTTATTGATAAATGTTAATAAGTTATTATTTCTGTTTGTAATAATCAATATATCAATATTTTATTATTGCTATTAAAGTTGTTAGTTCAACGTTAACCCTCTTCTTCTATGTTTTAAAGATTAAAAACATTGAAGTGTAAAATACCGATATTTTTTTTAATAAGAATCAATCATTTACACGTTTCACTAATTGTTGGTCATCAAAATTATAAACTATGTTTTATTTTTATAGGAGGCGATCTAACTCAATGGATTCAGGAAGGTTTATTGATGGCCTCGAATGTATCACAGAAAGGACAGTCTCTTCACAGAACACCCTTACGGCCAATTCCAACACCAATTCTGTTGATTCTCTTCCAAGCGAGAAAGCTGAAGTTGCACCCAAGCCGATAACCATTGGAAAAATAAGGCAAGCCCCATCGAGAAGATCTTCTTCAGGCCCAGTTTCCAAATCCAACCGTGATTCGAGCAGCTCCAATGATTCCGGTGTGTCTACAGGCTCGCTGAAAAACTTTGGTGCAGGCTTCTTGGAATTCGAAACAATCTTAACACCACTCTCAAAAGTAAGGACCCAGTCTCTCGGTGGAGTGAGGCGAGAGTTGACAAAATCCAAGTCATCGGATCCTTTGGAAGAGCTTACTTTCAGATTTAATAAAGCTGACATTAAGTCTTCTTCTGCGGAAGCAGAAGTCCCTATCTGTCCTCCTAAGAAGGACTCTAAAGGTATTTATTTATTTATTTTTTTAATAATATTTTCTTTGTTTCTTTCATACTTTAGATTATTAAAAAATATGAACTTGTCAAATTTTAGAATACATAACTATTCCCCAAATACCATTTCGCCTAATATTCATTCACAAAGTTTGTATAAAAAGTTTTTACAAAGAATCATCTTTATATTATCTATAATTATATCAATTAATTATATTAAACATCCTTAATATGGTCTATTAATCTTTAATATGATCTATCACATATAAGTTTCAAAGTTTTGGTGTTGAGATATTGCAAACTAGATTAAAATAGAAACATTCCTGAAAATACAAAAAAGTTAGGAAAATATTTATATTCCTTTAAAGGTAATTCTTGATAAGAAAAAAAAGATGAACAGAGGAAATTATTTTCTGGAACAATTAGTCTCCTGACAATAATGGAAATGTATAATTATATTTTCATTCTTTTTTTACATAAAATAAATTATTTTAAAAAATTCAATTATATAATAAATATTATAGACTAACATAAATTAATAAATGAAAATAATGAATAATAGAGAAATAAACGTCAGTACACTGATGTAGCAAAAACATCACTCTTACATAAAATTCGAAGATTGATAGTTGTGTAGATGGAGAAATAATTGATGTTTAAATAAAGCTAAAGATAAGGGTTCGCATAAAAATGTGAGTAATAAATTCCATAACAAATCAAACTCGCCCAAGCCACCTCAAATCAAAGAAGCATTTAGTGAAATACTTTATGTAAGTAAAAAGATTAAGGTTTATAAAAGTAAAGTATTCCATAGAATATTTGGACCGAAGAAGGACGAGTCAACCAGAGAATTCAGATGGAAATACAAAACTGAATTGCGGAAATTGTGCCCAATAAATATGATTGAGGCTTACAGTTATTACACAATTATATTTTGCTAAATAAATGGGAAATTAAAACTTTGGACTTGGTTACAAATGAATCCCTGAAAGATTAATATGCACATTGGTGACTGGTGAGCTTCTGATGGTTAGACTGAACCTAGGTAAGGCTTTTATGGTGGTCAGTGGATGGAAGTATTTAGACGGCTATTGAACCCTTGAGTTTGCTAAGCCTTTATTGATAATAGTAATGTTGTTATTGACACATAGAGGTCAGCTGTTTGCTCCTAATCTAAGATTAGTAATTTTTTACTTGCATGCTGTGTTATCAGGATCAGTTTGTGCTCATTTATCTGCAAAGGTCTTAGAAGTGAACCCAGTTTTAGAATTTAGCACCTTTAAAAATATTCTTATATATCCTAAAGATTATAGAAAATGACATTTTCTCCACCAGAGACAGCTATACAGCTTTATTATTTATTATTATAAGACACTTATTATATGAAATTCTAAATAAATAAATTTATAAAAATCACTATTTGGTATTTTTCAGATTTGTCGGTATCCAGTAGCTCTGGAGCACTAACTATTCCTTACGTTGACTCAATCAGCACGAGCAGCGGGGCCTCCGACATGTCTGACTACATCGAGACACTATCTATGTCATCATTTAGCTCCTCAGAACATGATAATCTAAGGTAATCTTATCTATATTTAAATTCATTTATAGTTCATAGTACAAAGCCACCTGAAACTTCAAGAGTAGCTTAATCTCATCATAACTTACAACTTTTTTATTTACCAAATTTCTCAGATTTGAGGTGTTTTCAATGTGGGGATCAAGATAATTTGATCAAAAAATTGATAAAAAAAGGTGTCTACCAAAATATTGCGCTATTTGGCATAACTTCCATCCTCAGCATGCCAAAATAATGAGGTTATATAGGCCAAATGGCCCAATATTTTTGTAGGCCACCTTTTGTATTGATTTTGTGTTCAAATTATCTTTAAAGATAATTCAAGTGGAAAGCAAGTGATTATTTATGAGTTTTTAGTGCCCCATTAATTTAATGAGAAAAAGTTTCATTTCTGAGAATTTTTTTAAATAAAAACTTAGAGGTTAGAATAAGCTGAAGTCATTCAAGAAGTTTTAGTTTTGTCCACTTAAATCATTCATTTCTGTATGATACTTCTGTACATTTGTTATATAATATCTGATTGGGTAGTTACTGATTTGTTTTCTGTCCCTTAATATCCATTAACTTCTCTATTAAAGTTTCTTTTTCTAAGTTTAATAATTTAGGTTTAATAAAATTTCAAACTGATATATTTATACATAAAATATTGAGTTTGTCATTTTGTACTCCTTAAATTTTCTGGTCCTCATATGTATAGGACTCTCTTTTCATCTTTTAGAGAGATATAATAATAAATAACATACCTACCTAATATAAATATATCTATAATGTTGGTTTATAAGTTTTATTTTACTTATTCCAGACAATGCCATTCTGCTGTCACTGTTTTGAGGCCACGTTCTGGCAAAGAATATCAAAAAATCGATAGGATTAATATCGATGAAGTAAGCATTATATCTGTAATATGATATTATTTATCTAAACAACATATAAAAACTTATAATTTAATTTATAAATATTTTTCAGGGGAAACATAAGCTAAGCATGCAGCATATAGATTCGCCCTCACCGGGCTACGGAAGTTCAACTTCAAGTAACTAAGTCATAGTTTATAGTCTGCGGTGTTGTACTACATATTGTTTTAGAAGCAATAACTATAACAAAATATATGTATAAGAAAATGCAAATAAAATATTATTAATATATTTAAAAAAGAAAAATGTATATTAAATTTAAATCTGTGGTAAAAGAAGCGTACTGTATCGTACGATATTTATATGTTGTATAAATGAATTGTAATTAATTCTGGTTTAAATTGTTTCTACTTATTTTGGGATATATGCCAATAAATAATAGCCTATGTAAATATGTTTCTTAAAGCTAATTGTTTTATGTATAATAAGATAGAGGGTAAGTTTTCTGTTACCGTAATGCATTATTTCTTTTTAATTACAAATTTCTGAATAAACTCCATTTAAACAAATTTTGTTGGTGTATTTTAATGGATAGACCATTGAACCCCTATACTAAAAATACTAATTTTAAGACTATTTAATAAATAAATAAAAAAAAAATGTTTAAGTTCAGAATATAAGCTTAATAAATTTTCTCATAACTTAAAATTAGCTCACTCTATCAAAGTAATAACCATGATTTTCAACTGATATATTGCAATATACAACTTTCTTGGAAGTTGGTGTATGGCTGGGGTGAAGAGAGGATGGGAGAAGGGATTCTGGCTCCAGTGGGTAAAACCCAATAATAGTGTTATCATCATGGAACTTGTTGTTTGGCAGGAGACTAATTGTTTGGAATCACAAGAGAGAGGATATCCCAGGGAGTTAGGGTTGGGTAGATGATAGTGTCACCATTTTGGGAGAACAAAAGAAAATACTAGAAGACAAATGAATTTAGTGCAACAATGGAAGAAACAGTCTATATAGAAAAAAGATTAGCTTGCCAATCCATACTTGACTTTATTTTAAAATCAAACAGTGTTTAGTGTAAATAATTTTAGTCTGTCTGAGTCTTTTGATCTGATTGCCAGTTACCCATACCTGAGAAAAAATAATTATAAATTTCAATTTATTATATAAATACTCTTATAATTTTGTTTATTATTTAACAACCTCTTATTTATTTAGAAAGTATCCCAACAGAGTGAAGTGATCTTCTGAGGTTATATTACTAGTTTAAAATACAAGAGATATTACGATATATTCAAATAATCTAATCAAATATTGATATATATTGAGCTCAAGTTATTTACCAACAACAATTTTAACTTATTTTATTGTACAACTTAAAATTAGAGAAGCTTGGTTGGTTGTTACGGAGTTCAGGCGTAAAACCTTTAGGTTATTAATCGTGTTAATTAAGTTTTTATATATATATATATCTGCTGGTTATGCATTTAAAAGAATAAAGAAAAAAACAATCAAAATAAATAAAGAAAAAATAACAATAATAATAAAAAGAAAAAATAAGAGATGAGGCATCAGATATTTTTAAAAAATCCTTCTTTGGAGAGAAAACATATGACTTTAATCTTGACTTCTTCTTTATTTTCCAAAGCAGTCAATGTACTTGCAGATATCCCTTTTTCATTTAACTTTCTGATGTAAAAGGCACAACTGTCAAAGATATGATCTGCTGTTATTCTATCCCCACACTTTTGGCAAACAGACAGGTTCTTTAGTGATAAGGTGCAGATGCATAAGCCTGGTATGTCCTATTCTGTGTCATGTTATGACGACTTTCTCTCTGCGCTTATTTTGAGTAGCAATGCTCCATGGTTTTACTCTTTATGATATTCAGTTTATTTGGAGGGATGTTGTCCCAAACTGTCTGCCAATCTTGGCCTCTTTTAGTGGTCGCATCAGTTCGGACGCCGTTAAGAAGGCTTTACCACATCCTGGAGTGGTAAGAGCTTCTTTTGCTGCTCTGTCAGTCATTTCATTCCCAGGTACACCTATATGGCTAGCTGTTTTGTCACCCCTAAAATACTACTTCGAGAGGCTTTCGGTGTACCTGGGCCATATTCATCTCTATAATTCCATCTCTATCCTCCATTTGTATTAAATTATGTTTTAGAAAATAAAACATAATATAATACAAAAAGTTTTGAATTTAATTAAGAGTACCCACTTTAGGCTAGGTTTGCCCCAGAAGGGTCTACCCCGCTCCACCATATTTGATCATGCTAAAGAAAAATGTTATCATCACTATAAAATATGTTTTTAATGAAAAATATTAATATGTTCCTGCTTTGTTTTTGTTGTTGCATCGTAGCAGATATGGAGAGAGAATTTGTTCATGGAGAACATACATATATTACAACATTTTTATGTTATTATAGAACAGGTCCACTGTATTTTATGAATCAACCAACTCTCCTTCAATCTTTCAAATTTATTATTTATTTTAATACCCTTCTTTATCCTATGTTTGGTGTATAGTTCTGAAATATTGAAATGTTTTCAAAACATGAGAACTACTGAAATTATGAATTGCAATTTCTAAAAATTAGAGAAAATGATTTAAATGGCCAACATAAAAAAAATGAAGAACATCAAAATAAAATTAGCGATGACTGAAGTAAAAAATATTTTAAAAATTACATTTTTATTAAACCAAAAAGGAATAAAAACTTATTACTTAGGTATAAAAAAATTAATTAAAATAATATTTCTTAAATGTTATGTAAGACAGAAAATAATCTCATTTAAATATAAGTAATAACCAGTGAGTATATTTCCATTTTAAACATTTCTTACTGTATTTTGTTGAAAAAATATCGGTTTCAATAGTAAAATTTTAATTAAAAAGTTTTCAAAAAAACAGTAAAAAAATCCATCTATTAAAAAAAGCATAAAATAATATTTTTAAAGTTCATTATGTAACAAATATGGATTAAACTAATTAAACATGAATAAATCTAGTATCATCCATTGTGATTTTGTCTGAATGTCTATCAGGATGAACTGGGAGGAGCATAGAGGTCATAGACCATTGGAGGGACAGAAAGGTTTAATATCAAGCTGTGGAGCTCTTGGCAGTCCCTGCTATCCTGATAGCAATCCCATTAAAACTGAGAACAGACAGGTGTCCACTGGTTCAGTGTACCCCCTCCCTTCTACTACTTACTACTTCCTCACTAAAGTGGCTAAGTGTTCCCCTTTTTTAGAAGGTGACCTTTTTCTGTCCTGAATTTTCAAGCCAGTGGAGGTGTGGCTATGTCCTTTTTTATTTTTACTTGCCTATGAAGAGTGTCCCATAACATAAGTAGAGGGACATTTTTATAGTAGTGATAGCAGATCTCGAGAGCTACAAAAAAGTTTACATAAATAAAGGTTCGATTTTCAATAGGAAAGTTGAAAATCCTGTATTTTATTGAATATGAAGCAATAACTAAAAAAACATTTAATTTAAATAACTAACTATTGCTTCATTATAAATTAGACAAGATTTACTTTAAACAAAAATAAAATTAATTTGAGTTAAAATTTACAGCAACTTCATAATAACATTTTGCTTTTAATGCAATTAATTAATTGATAAATATAGTACAAATAAACATCGTAATCTAAAATACAAGTCGACTAATTAAAGTTTTCCCTATAACTAATTTAAAAATGTTTTTATATATACAGAATTTTGTTGAAATATTTATTATAAATTTTTATGTTTTATTTTAATTAAACTATATTATTCTGTATTGTACATAGGTTGGTTTGATAATGTGAAATAATTTTAACATTTTTAAATTAGTTATAGGGAAAACTTTAATTAGTAGACTTGTATTTTAGATTAAGATGTTTATTTTTACTGTATTTATCAATTAATTAATTGCATTAAAAGCAAAATGTTATTATGAAGTTACTGTAAATTTTAACTCAAATTATTTCTATTATTTAATTAATATTAATGACTATATTAGCTATGGAAATATAGTGAAGTTAAAAAATTATTGAACAAAAATAGAGTTTGCCATTGGTAAAACCATTTACAGAGAACTTTTGAAGGGCTAAGCTAAGTTCTATTTTTAAAAACAAATCATTTATTATTTGTGATTTATTTTTATAATCTCCAACTATACTACAGACACTTTTCCAAAAATTTTTGGCTTAATAAAATTCAAATCCATATAAAAATAAGTTGAGATTTATTAGGAATAAACTTGAGATTAGCCTCGAGTTTTGTAAAACAAAATTGATGTGACTTTGTGTCGCCTAAATGTTCCTTTAATTTTAACGTTAAATTTAATTTATTTATAGATTTTTTTTTTTGCATTCTTATTTCTTTTGCATATAATTTTTGATTTTTTGATAGTTTTACATCAACTGTAGCAATGTCGTCTATTTTTTAAGCAAATTATCAATAATAAAAAAGAAAATTATAAAGACCAATGTTAGGAATCCCATTTTATTTATTTTCCTTAATGTTACATGGGAAGTATTATTAATATTGATGTTAAATTGTTTGGAAATAATAAAATTATTCTGTAATAATTTTGATTATTCATCAAGTGATAATTAAAATGTGATTTTTACTAATATCTCTATTAAAGGATTAAAGGAACTGTATTCATAAGGGACAAAATAAATGTTTCTACTCCTACAATTTACGTTTAAAATTAAGAAACGATCTGATTGCATCAATTATTTTTATGAAAACGTAAATATTAAGATCAGGAATATTTAGTCACTTATAAATCCGGATCAATTCCTGTAATGAAGATCTTAGTAAAAAATAACTTTCATTATCATTTTATATGATCAATAATGGAAAGAACATAATTTTTTTTAAATAATTTAAATAAAGAAATCGTGTATTTAGGCAATTGTGATTATTATTTTAAGTGCCAGATCATGAATAAAAATAAATAAAAGCTTTGCAACAATTAATTTTAATAATTTTTGCTGAAAACACGAGTACTGTTAAATGATAGGATAATTGTGGATTGATGATTGACTCTACTGAATAATTGAAGAGAAGAATCGTTGGGGCAATCAGTAAACAAAAAAATTGTAAAAATAAATATTTTTTTAAAATAAAAATAAATATAATTATTTATTTTTACTGATCACCCCAACAATCATTCTTCTCTTGAATAAAATCACATAATTTGTTTACACAATTTTTTTTTTTTGTCTTTATATACATATATGTATATATAAATTAACAACAAATCTGGCCAAAAGATCTATTACAATAAAGAATAACTAAAATACTAGTAATAAATTAAGAATAATAGCTCTTAGGACATATTAACGAAAACAGTTGGGTAAGAGGGTTACAATACTACACACAATATTGGAGCTAAAACAATACCATAATAATCACTAAATAAAATTAGAAAGGAACGCTATATCAATTTCATAAGCAAAGCATTGTTGTGATGGAATATAAAAGTTAAAAAATATATTGATATACATATTTATTAAGAAAAAAAAAAAAATTTACATATGTTCCCTTTTTTGTCTTTATATACATATATGTATATATAAATTAACAAGAAATCTGGCCAAAAGATCTATTA